CCCTATCTGAGATGAAACATTGAACGGCATGATTAAGACCAGTCCATACAGCATGGCAATCAGCATCTTCTCATGTCACGAGCTTTGGGTGTCATTTTACTTGAGCATCTATAAGTAATCAAACGCCTGGATGGCAGGTTGAATGCGATACGCACGGGTGGGGAGGCAAATTTGACTCCTAAAGATATCAAAAGTAACTGAGCTAGAGGCACCAAATTTACGGAATGGATAGGCCTTTATGCGAAATCACTTGCGTCAAATTTGGCCGAGCAAGGTCAAAGTGCTGATTGGCGTCCAAAATGCTCGCAAACCTCATACAGCCATTGTTAACCTTGATACCTCCTTTAAGCAAACGAACACGTGTGAGCACCTCATTTGACCTTCAGAAGGTCAAGGTGACCAAAAACCTACGCGATCGTTTAGACGTTTGAATGCACATCAAAGACCACGCTAGGTGGCATGTTCCTAAAAAGTTTATCGGATCATCTCTGGTCAGTGGCCTCCTCTGACCTTCATGAGCGATACTGAAACGTCTGCTGACATCCATGTATCCAAGGAATTCGAATTGAGGGCCAAAACCTACCCAATAATAAAGTTCTCCAGCAAAAAAGTTTTGAACTTGGTATGAACTTTGAATCTGATCCATCAAAGTAGTTATTCGTAATCCTACGTAAAATTGTTATTGTTTAAGAAACTATCTCGAACATAGAATTATTTGCTTCACACTTCCCTGTGGCACCGGAGTGAGTCATTCACTAGGAATAACCGCCTTCGCTGATAGACATAGTCTGACTTAATAACCTCGCAAGGTTCATCTATTTTTTTTATACCAAACGATCGGCTATCCTACCGCTTACAGCTGTACAAGGTCTGATGTGGCTGTACCGTGCAGCGGGGATTTTTTCCTACACATCTTTCGGGGGAGGGATCAAATTGGCACCAACCCGAGGACGTCTTAAATCTGACCTGGTCTGATCTCAACAGATCAATACAGAAACATGTGTGTGCGTGTGTGTGCGGGGGGGGGTCAGGTTAGGTTGGGATATCACACACACACACACACACACACACACACACACACACACACACACACACACACCACACCACACACACACACACACGCACACACACACACACACACGCACACGCACACGCACACGCACACGCACACGCACACACACACACACACAGATATATATATATATATATATATATATATATATATATATATATATATATATAGATAGATGGATAGATAGTATAGATATAGATAGATATAGATGGATAGATAGATAGACAGATATATAAATAGATAGATAGACGTATACACATATGGCGAATTTTGTTAAGCTTCACACCAAAGTAATCCCGCTGTCACCAGCTCTTTGATGCGCCCGATCCCGCGTTGAAATAGTAGTCAGCCTCCAACTTCCACAGAAAAAAAACAAGAAGCCCTTGAACAAGTGCAATGCAGATTGACGGTCTGGTCTGGGTCGGGAAAGTCGCAGACGGACCCCGACTTGGGATTGGACACCTTGTCCAACGTCATGCCACGGACTACAGGCGATGGTGTAGGCCTCAGGGACGACCTTTCACAGGCCACAACGACCCTTCAGAGGCCCCAGCCGGGACACACGTGCCAGCCCTGCCGACTTGCTGCTTATCGCCGCTGTACCGACCCAGTAATGGACGCTCAGCGCTGGACAGCCAGGCATTGGACCCGGGAGGGTAAGCCTTGCCGGAATTGCTGTAAAGAGCGAGGGTCACACGTAGTGAGCGGGGCGAACGGTAGGCGAGGCCATGACTATAGCGGCCGGTGTTTGGCATTGCCGATGAGACAAGGAGCTATACTGCTTAGATTAACAGCAGGCTAACGTGCTGTGTGCATTATGGCAAACAATGTCTCCGTATTCGCATCTTTGTACTTCTGTTATCATGTTCCTGGCAAGGTGTTCTGTGGGCCTCGTGCATTGTGCACATACACCTCGCTGCAAATCTTTCAAGCCTTGAAAATTCATCAGCATGAGTATTGCCAACTTAGGGGCTGCTCACTTCGCGTGTAGATAGGAGCCAAAACGCCGTGACGCGACCCACCGCTAACGATGGCGCTGCGTCGTCAGCGCGTGACCCGAACATGGCCAGCGAGGAACGGCACAGATCCGCCGCAGGCGGTACGGGCGGTACAAAAGTTGTATTAGGTCAGCGCCGGTGCACTGGCTAGTGGTCTGTGGAAATTAATTGATCGCATGCCTTTATTAAAACACCAAACGTGCCGTTTGTTTCCGGCATAGCGTGTGCCAACCGGAGTCAGCCTGGCGCGTTGGCGTGAAACATCGGACCCCCTTCCTCCCCCCCCCCCTCCGGAGTACCGCCAGCATCACACTCAGCACTGGTATTTAGCAAATTGCCTGCTTCCGACCACGACGGCTGACCCATAAATATGCATTTCATTATTTTTTTCGTAACTCACGCCATTTCTACGGATGAGGCAAACACGACGAACATCACTTAAGCATCATCATATGTAGTTCCAAATGAATCCTGCAGCCGGCAGCGGGGTTCAAGTCAAGCGCCACGTACACACACTTACACTGGCAGCAGCGCGGCGCAGACGGCGTTTGCCCGCGGGAAATCACCTCAATCTTCAATAATACAATGCAATGCACACGATGAACACACTCGCCAAATTGAACAGAGACGGTTCTGAGCTGCACTAGATGCTATTATGCGATGAGTTATGAATGAGTTAAGTTGACAAGCACAACAGAACATGTTCCAGCACAGCACTTTAGCAACTCGACACTCTTGGACATCGCGAGGCCGCGGCCGATATGTGCGATGAAACGTTCCGAAGGCGAGCGAGACGAGCACGCCACACGGGCCAGGTTTGGTCCGTGCAGGTCTGGTCCACATCACAACAGCCCAGGCACGAGCGCTCAACCCTGTCCACCGAGGACGCGTCGGGGTCGGCACGCGACCTGTCGCGGTCACGTTTTTTCCTCCGGTAGCGGTGACGTCACACGCCGCTCCCTCAGGCAGCGGTGACGTCACACGCCGTTCCTCGGGCGATGATGACGTCACAAGGCCTCCGCGGCCTGTGCCGCGCGGGCTGAGGGGCGTAACCGGGCCGCGTCTGACGGCGACCGTGCCGGGGGGAGGCGCCGCGCCCGCGCCCGGCCGCTGCCCCGACTGTCCGCCGCTCCGGAGACGAGGGCCCACACCGGGCCGGAGGCGGCTCTCGCGCGCCGCCAGCCGCCTTGAGCCGGGCCCCCCGCCCGTGGCACCGGCGCAGTAGCGGCTGCCAGTCGGCGTCCGGCGCTGCCCTCTGCGGGGCTCTCCCTCTGTGGGGCTCTCCCTCGCCGGTCCCAGCCCCGCCGCCCGGCCGACAGACGGCTCCGCTGCCGCCCGCCCGGACTACGAGAAGACGGCACTGCTGACGGCGCCGGTCGGCGAGCTGAAGAGCTGCTCCTCCTGGCCGTACACGTCCAGCACTTTCTCCGTCACGTCCCAGAGCTCCTCCCGTGTGCAGGAGGGACACAGCGTCTGGGGAGACGTCAGGTACAGCATCACGACTGCCAGCCAGAGGGCCGGAGTGGGACAGTCAGTCGCTGGCGGCGCCACGCACCTGCCCGAGCGGCTGTCCGGACCGCACAGGTCCAAGGCGGCTGCAAACCGTGAACCAGCCCCCGCATGATGACCGAAACCGTCCGCCCACTGCCCAGCCCGTCCGGCAGCTCCCGCACGGAGCAGCGAATGTCTTGGACAGTGCTTCAAATCTGGGTAACCTCCACGCCACGGGGTCCCCAAAATGGAGGCAGAATGTGACACAAACATGGCGCAGCAAACTTCACAGCAATGAATTTCCATTGCACGCCAGGGTGCAACGGCCTTAACGCTATGATCCAACCCGAAAAAAGCAAGAAGCTTAATCCAAAATTAGCCAGTCACATTTTCTCCCCGTTCTCTCAACTCAACGCCATAAAATGTCATCGCATGCAATGATAAATGAATAATGACAATGACATGCGCAATGAGAAACGGCGTCACCAATAAATATGGGATTGGCGACAACAAATCACCTCAAACAGCCATGCACAGGACATTAGTGGTTTGCCAGCTATTTACGAGAGGGGCATGACGAGACGGCACATAACTCCAACAGCCCTGGTCATAGCACAGCCTGCACCAGGCCGCAGCAATGACAAAAGCAGCATCGATCCATTCGCAAACAGGGTCGCACGATACCTTCACAATAGCAGCTACATGATTTGGCGACTACGCAGGTCAATGCCAACGTCGGCGGTCTGCACTGGTTTCTTTGTTTCCCGACTGCCTGGATACATCGGACGGAAAAGAACGAAACTGCTTGCAGTGCATTACTCGTCACCAATGGTGCAACAATCACGTTGCTGAGCCCGGTCCATTTAGCATGACTGTTATGCGCGTGGCTAATTGGTCGGAGCACTACTGTAAAATTTACTATTCCACACAAGTGGCTTTTGGTTCCGAGTGCCTGTTGACACGGCTAATTGCATGCACTCGAAACCCATCAGCGACACGGGTTGACCCAGTCCATCCCATCATTTCACTTGCGGCCTCCCTACTCCACAGGATCGTGGAGGGTTTTACGTCCCATGCAATGCTATGACACAGCCGCCTTGAAGGCCAAGCCAATTCCCTTCTCAGGGAATCCAAAGTAGCCAATGGCTCGCAGCCAGCTGTTCTGCCCATGTCAGGCGGGCCAGACGCCGCGCCCGTTCTGGGCCTCACACCCTCACACCTCTGGGCCTTGCACTCTGCCTTACACCCCGAGCCGCTGGGTTTTCAGTCAGGCATCTTTTGCTGGAATGCGGGTGGCTAAGCACTTCCCGCGGCAAGCACGACATCCCCACGGCCGCGGCAAAGGATGGCTCGGATGTGGTCGCCACGCGTCGCTAACGCTTCTCGCTGGCAAGACGTGTATCCCTCGCCACGCGCGTCCGCTGCGTGACCTTGACCGGCGATCGTGCTTACTCGCAGCTGCTGGCGGTGGCGTCAGCGGCAGGCCCACGCCCAACCGTGAACAGCAGGCCTGCCGGACCAAACTATACAGGGCCAGTCTGTGGTGCCGGCTCTGACCGTTCAGCATCCCAGCCGGGTACATGAATCAGACCGGCTTCTCCGCCTCTTCATGACGGAGGTGCTGAACGGGCGAATCGATCGTGTGAGATCGCCGTTTCGTGCCGCGACCACACAGCTGTTGCTCGATTCCAAACGGGCGCGACACGAAGGCCTCGCCCGCGCAGCAGGCTGCAACAGGCTCGGTCCATTGGCGCAACGCCATTGCCATCAGCGCCGCGCGCAATCACCACCACGCCTAAAACAGGGGCCAGACTCCGTACCCACGCCGCAGCCGGCACCGCCAATCACGGCAGACAATGCCCGCTCGCGCCCTTGCAAGCGGTCGATCAATGCCGCGTCGGCTCGACAACAAAAGACGGGGACCGTGTCGGCCGGCCGCGGAGCCCTCCGGGCTGCCGTCCATCCAGTAGGTGACAGCGCTGCCGGCCGGTACCCATTGATCGCCGGCCGTTATCAGACGAGATGGCAGCACAGTGCCGTAACGACTGCCTCGGCGCCGCTCGCCGTCCAGCTCATGGCTACAACAGACGGTTGTCGCTGCAGCATGTACCGCCACCGGCACGACCCCATTTGCGCAGGGGCCGGGGGAGCACAACCGTGAGTGGCACGGGGTAATTGCTCGTGGGGGGGGGAGGGGTGAGAGATGGAGCGCGCGATGGTCGGCGATTATGCGGTCCAACAGACAAGCCGGTATCAGTGGCGGGTCACTCCTCACTGGTCCTGTCTCGCCCCACGCGGGGACTCCACCGCGCCGGACGGTCAGCGCACAATGGTCAACTCACTTCGTGACCGCGTCGTTGCCCCTGCGCGGACGTCATGCCGCACCATCTACCCCGTGCAACAGCTTGCGTGCTAATTGAACGTCGGCAATCTAAGCTGCCATCAGTGCACATCGCGCACATAGACGTCGAACTTGCACGCAATTACCACGGGGCCGCAGTAACCGGGCTTCGCATGGACTAGGCGAACCGCAAAGCTGTTAGCTAGTGCTATTGATTCGTGCAAAAGTAGTTCAAACACTGGGTGGGTACCGTTCATCGTATCAAAACGTGTCGCCTTCCACGGAGCCGGGCACGTACCCGGTACCATGTCCTGCTGCCCTCCACGGAGCCGGGTACGTACCTGGTACCATGTCCTGCCCCCCCCCCCCACAGAGCGGGCACGTATCTGGTACCATGCCTTGCTACCCCCCATGGAGCCGGGCACTTATCTGGTACCACGTCTTGTCACCCTCCACGGAGCCGGACACGTACCTGGTACCATGTCTTGCTACCCCCCATGGAATCCGGGCACGTACCTGGTACCGTGTCCTGCCCCCCCCCCCCCCCCCACAGAGCCGGGCACGTACCTGGTACCATGTCTTGCCACCCCCCATGGAGCCGGGGACGTACCCGGTGCCACGTCTTGCCACCCTCCACGGAGCCGGGCACGTACCTGGTACCGTGTCTTGCCACCCTCCCCGGAGCCGGGCACGTACCTGATACCACATCTTGCCACCCTCCACGGAGCCGGGCACGTACCTGGTACCGTGTCTTGCCACCCTCCACGGAGCCGAACACGTACCTGGTACCACGTCTTGCCACCCTCCACGGAGCCGGGCACGTACCTGGTACCACGTCTTGCCACCCTCCACGGAGCCGGGCACGTTGAGGCCGTAACACTGCAGCGCTATGTGGATGCAGGCCAGCGCCAGCCACTGCGGCTTGCTGTCCAGCACGAAGTCGTCCATGTAAAGGTCCTGGCGACGTCGGACCGTCCAGCGTGCCGTCATGCCGTCCCCCAACACAGGCGCACGCGCGTCTACCGTCACTACACCACAGTGGTTACGCGGAATATCTACAAGTCATATTAATGCATATACAATACGCGCGTCTGGTAATACTCTATGAAGAGTGAACTGATTATTGCAGCATGGATACATGTAAAAATAAGGTATGATGTAAACGCACTTATACAAACGGGACACAGGTTCGCATGCAGTACACTCCGCAAGCGTATGCACGCATACAAGACAATCCAAACTGAAGCAAACTGCACATTTGCGATGCAGGTGCTATAATAACACCCACAGCTGCATGACGCGCATCCAAAGCGAGCCATGGCGTTCTGACCGGCCGGACGCCATCTCGGCCGGCGGCGGTGGCGCACCCGCCCGCCTCCGCCAGACACTCACCCTCAGGAGGGCCCAAGCGGTGGCGCACCCGCCCGCCTCCGCCAGACACTCACCCTCAGGAGAGCCCAGGCGTGGCGCACCCGCCCGCCTCCGCCAGACACTCACCTCAGGAGAGCCCAGGCGGTGGCGCACCCGCCCGCCTCCGCCAGACACTCACTCTCAGGAGAGCCCAGGCGGTGGCGCACCCGCCCGCCTCCGCCAGACACTCACTCTCAGGAGAGCCCAGGCGGTGGCGCACCCGCCCGCCTCCGCCAGACACTCACTCTCAGGAGAGCCCAGGCGGTGGCGCACCCGCCCGCCTCCGCCAGACACTCACTCTCAGGAGAGCCCAGGCGGTGCGCCGGAGCGGCACCTGCCGGAACAGCTCCGCCCCCAGCCAGTCCTCCAGCGACGCCAGGAAGTGCAGCAGGTACTGCCGAGACACGCGGCGGCGGCGGCGTCAGACGCGTCGGTCAACACGCCGTGGTCGGGTGCCGCGCTCAGACAGAGGCCTCCGGCCGCTGACTGACCTCTGTGACGTCACTGTGACATCATGTGTGGGACTTCAAGGTCAGTGCGGACGTGGACAACGAAGCGAACGTCTGATCTTGAGTGTCTTGACGACTTTGAGGAACAGGGTTCACAGTTACAGCTCCCGCCAGTCATAGGTCATACCCATCACAGGGCGCAAGTCCAGTCACTCTCTTTATCTACAAGACTGCATAGCTTGGATCGAGCCCAGCTACCGAAGTCCCCAACCTCTGTTCCCGTCGCAAACTCGACCTCGCTGCTGGCCGTGTTGGCGCATCCATCAGTTCAAGGGAAGATAGTTTTTTCCTTATTTCAAACGCAGGATATGGTGAAGAGAGAGAACAACGCGCCAGCCAGTGAGCATAGCAGCTCTCATCCGTTTCGAGGACATGATTGCTCGATGTTGTGATGCACTTCGGCACCTCGCGTTCTCATCCCTCAGGCGTTTCAATGTGGGGCAAGGAGGGGGGGGGGGGGGGGGGCAGCAAACCAGCTCGCCGGAGGTGCTCCTGCCCGGGATATACTGCACGACATAGTACAAGTCTCCTGCGCAGCCCAGGGGACCCGGAGCCCGTCCCGTCCGCCCTGGAGAACAGAGACGTATCAGCACGGGCCACCGTTGGCTCAAGCAAAGCGCCCGCCACCCGCCGTCATGCCAGCCATCCGAGGAGGCCTCAAGCGGGCGATCGGGCCACGGGAGAGAGCGCCGGCCACAGCAGACAGCAATCGCCAAAGCCGAGAGCAATAGCCACAGCAGGGAGCGATGGCTACAGCAGGGAGCGATGGCTACAGCAGGGAGCCATGGCCACAGCACGCCGGCCACAGCAGGGAGCATGACTGACCGCCGGATGTCGGCTTGACTGGCTACGGCGGCGCGCCGGCTGAGGGAGAAAGCGTCGAGGGGTGGGGGTGCACAGCTCAAGCGCCTATGACGCGCCTGACGTCAGAGCCCGCCCACGCTGCACCTCCCCCCCCCCCCCCCCCCAAGCGGAGGCGCCGCCACACCCAGGCCATGCTCGGCTCACGGGTCTGCTGGCCCATAAATGCGGGGTCAGATATGTCTCCAGATATGTCTCCAGATGTCTCCAGATGCGAGTTGTCCGATCAGCCGCGACAAAGCCCTTCTGTCTCGCCACTAACCCGACACGTCCCACCTTGTGCGGATGTTCGAACTCGGTGCTGAAGCGGAGCATGCGCAGCACCAGCAGCTCAGCCTGGATGAGCGAGTCGCGCAGGTTCCAGTAGCTCTCGTCCATGTCGAGCGGCCGGCCGCCCGGGCGCAGCGTCACATGTGTCACGTTGATGACGTCGCGGGCCTTCAGCGCCTGGTCCTCCAGCTTGCCGGCCAGGTACAGACAGGAGCCGGCGATGAGCTGAGGAGCGGGACTCAGGTCAGGTAACAGCACGGCAGATGTACGGACAGGAGCCGGCGATGAGCTGAGGAGCGGGACTCAGGTCAGGTAACAGCACAGCTGATGTACAGACAGGAGCCGGCGATGAGCTGAGGAGTGGTACTCAAGTCAGGTAACAGCAACAGCCTGACGTACAGACAGGAGCCGGTTCGATGAGCTGAGGAGCGGGGCCCCAGACAGGTAAACAGCACAGACTGACAGGAGCCGGCGATGAGCTGAGGAGCGGGACTCAGGTCAGGTAACAGCACAGCTGATGTACAGACAGGAGCCGGCGATGAGCTGAGGAGCGGTACTCAGGTCAGGTAACAGCACAGCTGATGTACAGACAGGAGCCGGCGATGAGCTGAGGAGCGGGGCCCAGATCAGGTAACAGCACAGCTGATGTACAGACAGGAGCCGGCGATGAGCTGAGGAGCGAGACTCAGATCAGGTAACAGCACGGCAGATGTACGGACATAAGCCGCTGATAAGCTGAGGAGCGGGACTCAGGTCAGGTAACAGCACAGCTGACGTACAGGCGGCAGCCGTTGATGAGCTGAGGAGCGGGACTCTGATCAGGTAACAGCACAGCTGATGTACAGACAGGAGCCGGCGATGAGCTGAGATGCGGGGCGCAGTTCAGGTCACGGCACAGCTGATGTGCAGCTGATGTGACAGGAGCTGGCAATGAGCCAATGAGCGGGACGCACGTCAGGTCACAGCACAGCTGACTACAGGTGGAAGCCGCCGGTCAGCTCAGCGGCAGGAGACATGCTGAGCGTAAGTGAGCGCCCACGATCAGCCGGAGAACAAAGCACGGGTCAGGGAGAGGCCAAGCCAGAACACAGTCCAAATCAGCCGGCCAAGTATGCAGAGGTGACGTAACGACATCAGATAGCGGCGAGAACCCGTCCAATCAGCTGTTCGATTAGTCATAGAACAAAGTGCACGACTGCACCGACTCCATTGGCGCACCTTCCACGTCAAGAAGTCAGCATAAGCGACGGCTCACGCACTTGAAACGGGCAACCACTCCCCTGCACGCGGCGCCATGGACGGGGCCGACCGCAGCAGGACCACAGCGTCCTGCTGCGGGACGTCCCGTCCGTGGCCACCATCCCGCGGCCGCCACTCACGTAGATGTCGTAGTCCGCCTCGTTCACCTCGCGGAAGAAGCGGTGGTAGACCACAGAGGCCGTTGCCACCACGGTCACCTTGGCGTCCAGTTTGAGTGCTGCGGAGGGGCGGACGGTCAGAGCAGGGCGGCGCGGCGGCCCGGCAGTCCCGCCCGCCTTACGCGCCAGGACGGTCAGAGCAGGGCGGCGCGGCGGCCCGGCAGCCCCGCCCGCCTCACGCGCCAGGCCGCTCGAGGGACAACACACGCGCTCACTCACATGGCAGCGCTCCCCCCACCGATGTTTGGTGCCGCATTACACGCCGTGGTATGGATCGCAGCGTGCGTGTCAGCCCACTGTACCCGCAGACGACGCTTGACCGTCAGCCCACGCCAAGTGCTCCGGCGTTCGACACCACGTCTTTATTTTCCTTACTCGGCATATTCTCCGACCAGAAATTCCTGTTCCAATAGGCCTTTGAGTCCCCCCACCCTCCCAGCGCGCATCTGCGGTGTCAATGGGATTGGGTGTGCCGAAGAAGCTTTCCGACCGTATTTGTTGTACAACAGGCGCGGGAAAATCTACTGATCCAAAAAGCATCCTTTCGAAGCCAAAGAGGGCGGGAAAGTGGAGACACATCAAATCTTACAGTTTCTTCAGCTGAAATTGACGTTACGCTGTTACCTTAAGTCCTGCCGTAATACGGTTTAGCGCATACATGGGGTCCATGTTAAATTAATAGCTTTGCACAAATACAGTTCTGATGTTGTCTCAACTCTACCTACGTCAACTGTCGACGCGAATATATCAAACTGTATCTTTGAATTGCTTCCACATCACCTGATTTGTTAAGTTTTGATAGATGGGTTAACTCGATAAGGGTCAAATGGTACGGTTTTTCTACCAACCTCGCTTGGTGTGTGAAAACCGCCTCCACCCGGCGGGGGGGGGGGGAGGGGGGCTCAAGAAGACTGTGGACCATCACGGAACCTGATAGGCAGTGGAGGCCAATAATCGCGGCGTGCGGGACCACAAGCCACTGACTAAACACACGGGCTGGGGGGGGGGGGGGGGGGGGAGACGAGTTCATGTGTGGAACACGAAAGTGGGGAAGTGCTTCCTCAGGGCGGGTCCAACAGCGGTCGGTATGACCTACCGGGTGAGATCTGATGACCTTGTCGGGTGAGCGGCTCATAAGTGGACTCAAAATGTCGGTAGAGTTCCCAGTGAAATTCCAAGCGCGCCAGGCATTAACAAACATGGGAGGGGCATAACAGCCAGCCAAGGGCTAGTAAATGAAATGGGTCCAAGTACGCATCCCCGAAAACGGGCGAAAGTGGACAGTGGACACTAGGCCTTAAAAGCCCACCATTTGCTGACCCTGAAACGGTGGACATAAAGGTTTAAAGCACAAAAATATGTTCACTTTAAAGCTACCAACTTTTTTGTAACTAAAAGGCGAGCAGAAAGACGACACTGCATTCTTCGTGTGTGTCGACCTGCCTACATCCTGGGGCTCGTTTCTACTGGCCTTGCCAACTTCTGGAGAGTTACTGCGCTGTAGTTTATCAAAATACACAAAACGATGGCAAACGTCTGACATGGCGCTCCAAACGCCATCTATTGGCCTAACCAGGAATGAAACGTGCCGTCCCGCACCAGCACACAACCTTTGGCCAGAGCGCGAGGACGACACTACTGAATGGTATAAATGACCATACGGAGAATCACTGCATAAAAGGTCTTCACTATATCGGTGGCCTGTAAAGCAACAAAAAAAAAACAAACAAACAAACAAACGGCTCATGTTCTATCGCCATAGCAGGGCGGTGCCGAGGAGGGACATGCGTTGCCCCCTCTAGCGCCAGCGACTGTCCCACTGATTTGGCCGTCTCAAACGCAAATCACTGGTCTGGGCCCCCTGAGCACCAGCTTTGACCCAGCTCCTCCCGAGCATCAGCTGATCCCTCTTGTGTCATATCCTGGTGAGGCCCTCTAAACACACCACCCGCCACAGTGTCAGGTAAACAAGGCACAAGCATTGGTGCAGTCGCGGGTAAACAGAGCACACACATATTGGTGAAGAACCCATTACGACAACAGGCTAGGTATCAAAGGCAGGACTCACCACATTCATGCAAGAATCTTGCTCCGATGGCCTTCCCTTGCTTTCTCTTGTAGTCGATCTTCTTACTTGGAGCCTTGGGAGATGATGATGGGAACAGGCCCAATAACGTATCCATCTTCGAATCTGTGGCACGTTGTGAATACAAAGGTTGTCTAAATATAAGTGAATCTCATTTTGGGGCAATGTAGAAACTCACTCCCTTTATTCTAGTTTTAACATTTGGTTGCATGAATTTCCGTGATCAGAGCCCACACTGAGCAGGACTTGTTGGATGAGCCCTGACCACACCACCTGATCATTAAATCCCGGGTCAGCAGCAGAATATTGTGGCAAAAGCTCAGCATGCCACAATACTGGGCACGGTCCGTCCTGCCATCTGATGTCACCTGACCTATAGCGAGGCTGCAGCCACCAGCCACTGACCATCTCAGTCAGGGCAGATAGTATTTCAAGTAGCTTGACCCCACCCTACCACAGGCGGATAAATCGGAACGGTACCTGTGACCAGGTACCTGTGACCAACTGAGGTACGGGGAAATTAAAAGGAAGGATGGATGACATGGAATCAATTATTTAAATTTGGTTTTAGAGGACATTGTTCTCAGTCTCTTCTGTATCTTGTTTGACAGTGTTTTCCTAATGTTGTTTGTCTCTTATCTGATGGATGCCAACGTTGTGTGCTAAATAAATAAAAAGCTGATCAACGAGCGTTCGCTCGTCTATGTTGGCGTCCAGTATTTGCAAGATTCGTGAGAAATGCCAGCCGTCCAGTGCCCGATCGATGGGTGCCGATACGTCGCTCCGGATTACGACCCGGTTACCGTGGCTGCACTCCTCACCAGTCACAACAGCAGCCGTGAGGTGCACCTCAAGCCAGACGTCTGCAAGCTCCAGAGCGATGGGAGGGTGGAAGGAATACGATGGGAGGAATATCGTACGATGGGAGGAATACCACGACGCCGCCAGACTCTCCGTTCATCTTCTGAAATGCTGTGAGGAGGCGCACAGACCTCACACGAGCTGCTGGCGGGAGCCTGGCCTCAAAGCCCGAGGAAGGCGTACTCGTCGCTATCAAACAGGTGACTGTGAGGGAGGAGAACGCAACGGTAGCCTGAGTCGCCTTGTTTAGCATGCAACAGGACTGCGACGAGCCGATTCGTGACTTCGGCGCCCGCCTGGGAGAACAAGCAAGCGTCGGTCGGTTCTCAGTCCAGTGCTCCAAGTGCCGTTCGAACGTTGAATACGCCAACGAGATAATCCACGACAACCTCATCAGTAGCATCTGCCGACTCCGACGTCCAGTTGCATATCAGGGGCGCAGAAAATTAGTTGAGCCCCTGGAAGTGTGGTCCGCTTCGAGACAATGGAATCAGGCAAACGTTCCGTCTTTCAACCATACGATTGCCCAGCCACCTCCGCGGCCCAGCCACCTCCGTCAGAACCTTGTGGATGCTGTGGCAACCACGGCCGTGGTCGACACGCCCTCTGAGGCTACGGTGGAGGGAGTGTCCAGCGTACGGACAGACATGTGGACACTGTGGCCGAGAGTACCACACCGAGACCGTGTGCCGGGTCACACGCCGCCCCCCCCCCCCCCCCCCCACACCCCTCCCACCTCGTCCCAACCAGTTCAACGGAGTGGAGGACGACACTGGCGCCACCTTTGACGCCCTCCGTTCGACTATCACTGAGTCAGTTGAAGGGCTGAAGCTAACCGTCATCGGGCACCATGTGTCCGACGACCTGACCGGAAAGGTGGGCGTCTCGCCGTTCCATGCCTCAGCCCACCGTGGAACTGGCAGCCGAGGCGGCCGCTGAGGACCACCAGGCGCTGGGTGTCAGGCCTGCAACCCGCAGCTGCGAGTCTTGCACACGCGCAGCGGCCGACGCAGGCTGCCAGAGTTGATCTGCCAGAAGAAGACCTGGGCCAGTCAAGCTGAAGATGACCGCGGCAAAAAGCAGGACGGTCCGGGTCCTGGGGCCGTCCTCCTAAGGCCATGCGAGGCGAGCCAGCAGGGTTGCCCCACTGCCACCCGGCAGGTGGTCTATGTCACAGACGAATCAGACAAGTTCTTCCTCAGCACAGATGCTTGCGCCGCCCTGGGCGTCACCTCCCAGGACTTCCTGTCTTTCGGTGAGAAGCACCACGGCCCATCCACACCCGCGACATCTCGCGATGCCAAAGCACCGGACATCCTCGCCACCAGCGAAACATCGAATGCGACGTACGGTCGCCGTCGTCATGAGCTGCCTCGGCCCCTCCGCAGACGCTACCCATGGCTCCCAACGACGCCAACCGTACGAAACTGGAGCAGTGCCCCAAGTATGCCCACAGAACGAGTACTTTCAACGTCCAACGAGTCGAGAACCAGTACTCTCAACGTTGCCCCCACCAGCCCCTACACACCGCGCCAATCCGCACGAGACGTGGCACAGCACATTGGCGTCTCGCGAAGATACCCTCCGCAACAGGTACCAGACGGACGCGGAACGCTGGTCCGAACACACGGGACGTTCGCCCCCACTTAGAGAGGGAGACCGCGTCCGCAGGCAGAATCACATCGACACATACCCAAACAAGTGGGATAGAACCGACTCGGTCATCGAGGTTAGGCAATTCGACCAAATTGTGATACGGGTCGACAGTCCGGCAGGGTGACTCTGCGCAACCACCGGTTCCTTCGCAAGTACGTGCCGGTTCGGCAGCCAACACCGCGCCCTTACATCTTCTGCGACCTCCACACATGTAGCCAATCTACCGACCGACCGGCTCCCAAAGCCGATACTTGGCCGACCGACCGGCTCCAAGTCACCGCTCGGCCGACCGACCGGTTCCCCAAGTCACCCCTCGGCCGATCAACCGGCTCCCCAAGTCACCACTCAGCCGACCGACCGGCTCCCCAAGTCACCACTCGGCCGACCAACTGACTCCCCAAGTCACCATTCAGATGGCGCACCCGGCGTCTCATCCTATGCCCCAGTCGGGGGCCACCAGTCAACTCACACGCCTCTCAGATGTGACTCCCAAACCTATGACACCATCGGTCCAGCCAGTCCCCGATGGGCACGTCGACGACTCCGACGACTCCCGTCACCGACCCAGCGCAACATAATCACCCCGAGCTCAGTCAACACCCCACTTAGGCACATAGCCCATGACACTGGAATGGCGCCACCATACAACTGCATCTGAAAATGCTCCCAGCCTCCACATGAGACTATTGATGCTGTACTTTGGACTTCCATCCACATCCCTTGCTGACAAACAAGTGTCCAGCCCCAGGCTGCCATCATGCCTGAAGCAATGACCAATCCACTTTGACAATTACATATAAAACCCTCAGACTTAGGGGGCAGGATACAGAGACTAGGGGAATGAGGAAAAATGTTTTGAATCTCATCTGTTTCATGTTTGGCAGTGTTTTGCTAATGTTGTCTGTCTCTTCTCAGATGGATCCCAATAATGTGTGCTGAAGAAATAAAGAGCTGGTCAAAGCATTTAGGTAGGCAGCAGAGGTAGGTGGCAGAGATAGGTCAAGAAGCATGGAAGCAAAGCTAGTTTCTGTTTTCTAAGTTCTAAGGTTGAACAAGGAGAGAGGCTTCATTACCTGATGGCAAGATGTAATCAGGGGGCAGCAGTATTTATTATAGAAGGGTTGAGCAATATGAGCTCATATAAAAAGTAAAGGGACATGTACTTCCCAGCATGCAGGGACAACATCACAAGTTGATACAACACACATATCATGATGTAGCGACAAATATGCCTGAGGTTTCTGCATATCTGGAGTAATCCACATGCACCAAGATGACACCATGGCTGCAAAAGGTGTGTGCTGTCTAACAGTATATACCCCATCTTAGAAAAGTGATGGACCAGTGGACAAGATATTTCAGGTAGATCCAATCTTGTCCAAGTGGGGCAGACAGCCCCTGTGCTTGGGGTTATGACTGATTTGATGACCAGGAGAGGGCCCTACAAAATTTGCCTCATAATCTAGCTTGTGCCTGTTGACTGCTACCTTTTCCTATTGCTCTGCTCAAATTGGTTCAGCATCACGATAGGGCAGACATTAACATCGAACATCTATGATTACATCTTTACATTCATACCTTTCTATTGACATTCACATCATTACATTCTGGGGAACCATAAATAAAATTGGGGGGGGCGGGGGGGGGGGGGGGCGGCACAACATGAAGTCATGTGCTTCATGTGCGATGCTTAAGATGCAAATCACGTGTCATGCGAACAAGTGACATAGCATTTATCTGCGGACTGTGATGAGCTCACGATGGTACTGAAAGGACATGGAAAAGGCTTGGAAGGAGCAACATAACCCACCCTAAATTCACACGCTGACCGACACCCCTGGCAGGGCATCTGGTAAAATACTACACGAATGCAGCATGTTTTACTCGAAAAATGAAGCTTTTAAATGGTCTTTGTTGCGTCAATTTGACAAACACGACCTAGCCGGTATTTGAGGCTTCTTTGAAGGTGAAAAAGAGCACCGTGGTGACCAGGATAAAAACAAATCTTGTTCGACAAGTCGCGTACGTCAAGTTGAAAATCTGAAAATAAAAGCGTTTGTGGAATATCTTTAGCGCTCCATTTTATAGTTCTTTGCATCAGATACCTTAGATTTACAAACTCTGGGGAATTATGCTAATGGTTGGTGTCGTGATCTGCCACGTTATGAGTTGTTGTGCCGAAAGAAGCCGAGCTTAGAATCCTCCTGGGATTTACCCCGTTCATCACCCTGTTTTCTGCTTTTTTGAACTTTTCTCTCCCAAAAGTGGGCCTTAATACGCATGCACAGTTTGAATCGAGCATTTGCTGAACGTCAAGACATTCATGGGAGAGTATTTTGAAGAAAAATTATGACATTTGAAATGTTTAGGAAATTTATCTTTATGATGTTCAACACTTCGAAATTTTCACAAAAATGATTTTAGATCTATATACTAACTCAAAATTGGGTGCATCCTTATCTGAGCCTGAGCAAACTAATGCGGCTAATTAATTACACGCGATTGCTTGTTTCTTTTTTTTAGTATTTTGAAGGCTTCCAAAATGTGCTACCAACTTTGAGACGCCGGCATTCGTGACAAAATAAATGACCGCAAAGGGTCGGGAAGACGCAGAAAGTAGGTCGTTACTGTTTGAGTAGTGTGTGCGTTGATTGCAATCGAATATTTGCAGTTAAAAGCGGATTTTACGTGTCTTTGAAAAAACTTGCTTAGACCAGACCGTCTTGTGCTGTGTCTGTCAAAGTAGCCGGTGAGTACCTTTCTGTTCACCACTGATTGACACGGTAAGAACTGGAGGGGCTTGGATTTCTTGAACATTTCTTTCATGTGGCATCCTCAGGGGTGATGTGATATATAAGAAGGCCTAGGAATTGTCACCTCCAGTTTATTAAGGCTCAGGTTTTGCATTTTGAAAAGGGAAGGCACCATAAGTTATTTTCCAATGTGCAGCTTTGTTAGGCACTTTTGCCAAAAAAGTGCCTGCATTATCAAACATGTCTAGCATAGCTGCAAAATTGTGCTAGCAGTTTCAGCACATGCAGGCTGCAAATCAGTAAGTACCAGATGAAAAGGTGCATGTTATGCCAGGTGTGTGTAGCATAGCAGTATCAGCAGCTTTGCAACAACAATTCAAACTCAGGTACAACTAAAGTATGAGCACTGAGAGTTTGGTGTTTGGATACCATCAATATCAGAGTACAGAAAGGTAGTTTTTCAGGAAGTTCCAAGGGCCAGGTAGTGGTACTGCCTAAATAATATCAGGCAAAAATACTCAACACATTTTTCAAGATGGAAACAAACTGAAAGTTCATTGCAACTTGACATGATTTTAGTTTGGTGGGCTAGAGGTTGAATGTAGGGGCATGTTGTGGGAGTCCAGGTCATTGTATGTTTTTCGGACTGGCTCAAGCCTGCTGCTACAGGAATCAGTGCATGGTTAGTTTCAATGCCTGAAGCAGACAGCAAAAAATAAATTGTGACAGTTATATTTATTTAAGAGCTATGTTTTGGCAATTTCATGTTGGCATGCATACAGTTAATCTAGGTTCATTGAGTTTTTGCACATAGCCTTCACAATTGACAGAGAGACAGTGTCCTGGGGCACTATTCAAGCTGATAACAATTTTATGCTCTGATTAAGCATGTTGTGCAACCATGTTAGAGCATCAATATAGTAGCAACAATTTATGACACATGCGGCAAGCATGGGTTTCCCTGTCTGGTGCAGTCACAGCCAATTTCATCACATGGGAGTCAATGTGTGACGGCATTATTATTTTATGCTGTGAGAGCAGCTTCAAGTGGAAAACTCCTTCCAAACTTTCCAAGCAAAACCTAGGCGCAAATTTAGCATCACTTAGCGTAGGTTGAGAGAAGTGCATTTGTGCACCGTATACAGGGTACTGGAATTACATAGGGATCCCAGCTCAGTGGGCATATTTTTTTCTGGCTGGTATGCCATAGCACCCCTTCTTTACCAGAATGTTTAATAATAACCTACTCATAATAATGCTCAGAAATAAACTCCCAACTAAGATTTTGTGCTGTTTTTTTTTTGGAGGTGTTCAGAAAGTGGATGTGCCAAAACGTCTTTTTATATCGTGATCGTGACAGAATTGAACCCATGCTTGTGTTTGCCTATGTTCACCACTAGTTTTGGTTATGTAGACAGTCTTTTTAAGTTGAGGGCAATAAAGTACCCCTCAAATATCTCCCAAGAAATTTGCCTAAAAAATTAAGGATGACATAGTCACTGAATCATAGTGCTTATGAGGCAGATGTGTCTTGTGAAAATTTTGCAGGCTGTTTTGCCATATTGTAAATCATAGATGATGATCTATATTTCTAAAATTTGTGTTACCATCTACTCATGCATATGCTTGCATTTTCATGCAGAGTATTCAAGCATTTGCATTTTTTCAGATACCAACTGCTCATTGGAGTAGATTTGTGGATGGAATGCATGCTCAGCTTTAGGACCTTGATGAGAGTGCAGCCAGCTGTTGCATGCTTTTGTTGTGGTAGTCAACTGTTATAACAAAAAATTGTGGAAGTGTAATGTCTGCCATACTTAGCTTGTGATGTCATTCAGATGGGCATTGATAACTAGCTTGCTTGTGAAATAAGGTGTAAATGATATTCAAAAAGTAATGGTGATGCATAGTTGCAGCCATTGCTCAGGTCATCATGTGACCTGGCATTTTATTTTACATTTGGTTAGTTAATAGCCAATGATGAATATTTCTTGGCAATACTATGACATCAAAGAATGGGGCAACTAACTAGCACAACATCAAGTGGCACCAGCCATCCACAGCATCACTCAGATTGTCACACACTGTGGTACATCCATTGTCAGATATGTATATATATATATATATATATATATATATATATATATATATATATATATGAGATGTTAGCCATCTTGCCAGATACATAGCCAGATATTAGCCATCTTGATATGCTGTTTGTTGGTATTTAAATTTTAAAAAAGATCTTTGAAACTCATGACTTGTCATGTCCTGATGCTCAAGTAGTGTGAAATCTGAGCAGCATTCTATCAACAGAAAATCAGAAAAGCTGTTACAGTAATGCCTGCTTTAGTACCCCCTCCCCCCATTATGTTTTTAAGATGTGGCAGTCTCTTAACCAGTGGTAAAGTGACAGTCTTGACCACATTCAGTGTTATGTAACTGATGACTTGCCAGTAAGAGGTCTTCTTCTTTATTTTGTATATCATTTTGTGATTTTTCCATGATAGATAACTTGGTCCACAGTCGTGAGGTGCTTTGCATGTGTGTTGCTATTTTTGTTCAGCTTCTTCATGTGTTAATAACCTTGTTTTTACCACACAAGAATGTTGGTGTGCTACCCCCCCCCCCGCCCCCCCTCCAGCATGACCCTCAATCTTTTCAGGGAGGGCTCCACTTCCTGATTCCTCCTGGATTATCTGCTGGCAGCATTCTTGCCTTGACTTCTTTGAGCTGGGATTCTTGATATTAATGGGTGAATGACAATACTGTCATGTGGTGTAAAAAGCCCCAGCTGCACATGTGATGTCACAATATTTGTTTTGTTCTGCATTCCTCAGAGTCAAAGGCTGCATTCCAGGGCTTGCAGAATCCTGCACACTCTCTTCATGCACACATTTCAAACCTGTTAGTTAAGCACATTCCTATAGCCTAGAAACTTATTGAAGAAATAGATGCCCATGAAAAGTGATAGTGGAAACTACATTTTACAAGCCAAAGTGCATGGGATTCCCCCAAACCACTTCCGTAGTCGTCGGGCGTGTATGGTGCCTGCCACTGACTGCTGGTGGATTATCAGTCCAGGCCACGTTTCCAGACCTGCAGAAGAAGCTTAAGAGTAGAGTTTTCCATCAATGCCATGATAGATAGGATGTCTTTTTCGTGACCAATTGTGAAACAATCATATGCTGTGATAAAAAATGCTTACCGCATGTGTTTTATTGACACTCGTGCAAGAGCTTGAGTTTGATGCATTCTTCATTGATTTACGTCTGTTTTTGGTTGAGAGTTATTATAGAGAAAAGTCCTCATTGGGCAGAGGTCCAACAAAGACGAGACTGATGGTTTGGTTGACAGCGATCTCACCAGGGACGTAAAAACCTCTGCATTGTGTCCCATGCTATGTGAGCATGTGGGCTTCGAATGAGATATTGATGAATCCCTTCTAGGTACGTGTGGTCACAGCAGAGGGCACCATGCTTACTGAATTTAAGCAGTTGTCCGTTTCATGACCGTAATTTGGATCATCTAGCTTATGCTTGATTTGACTGGTCTCAAGTCGTGGTACGTGAGTACACGAACACAATTTTGTGGTGAATCATGTCCACGGCTGGGTTTTGGCTAAGTGTGCACATTTTGCAGGCTTTGCAGCACCGCTATGAGTTCATTTCGGAACAAGCTTTTGCAGGTTCTAACATACACACCCGGCCTTTTTGTGAAGTAACTAGAGTATGTGAATATTTACCGAAATGGTTCCCTATGCCGGGCGGGCCCCACTGGTTCGTTGCCAAGTGAGCACCAAATCCAAACAGTTTGTCCGGACAAACAAATCGCCGTCTGGGACCTGAGCCGCGCCGCGTCCTTGGGTGTATCATTTGAAACTATGCACATGTCTGAAGCCGAACGCTGAGCTGTGGTGGCACAAAATGAGGCACAGAACCCAGCATTTCAGTATATCAAAACCACTCAACGACTGCTGGTCCCCACCGCATGCACGATGTTATGCTCTTACCACCAGCCAGGTTCCAAATTGCCCCGTCAGGTGCTCGTAAGCACACAACGTCCAAACAGGCCAGAGCACTGTCAGTGAAATTCCGTCATGCCATTTGACCAGGGCTTATCTGTGGAATGCAGCGTCGTGGTGCCGGTGCGGCGGCTCGGTCCCTGGCGTCGGAAGCACGGTCCCTGGCGTCTGTGGCTCGGTCTCTGGCATCCGTGGCTCGGTCCCTGGCGTCGACGGCTTGGTTCCTGGCGTTGGCGGCTCGGTCCCTGGCGTCGGCGGCTCGGTCCTCTGGCATTGTGGCTCGGTCCCTAGCGTCGGAAGCACGGTCCCTGGCATCGGCGGCTCTGTCCCTGGCGTCGACGGCTCGGTCTCTGGCGTCCGTGGCTCGGTCCCTGGCGTCGGCGGCACGGTCCCTGGCGTCGGCGTCTCGGTCCTTGGCATCGGCGACCCGGTCCCTGGCGTCGGTGGCTCGGTCCTTGACGTCGGCGACCCGGTCCCTGGCGTCGGTGGCTCGCTCCCTGGCGTCGGCGGCACGGTCCCTGGCGTCGGCGGCACGGTCCCTGGCGTCGGCGGCACGGTCCCTGGCGTCTGTGGCTCGGTCCCTGATATTTATGGCTCTATCCCTACCGTCCGTGACTTTGTCCCTGGCGTCCAGGTATGGTGTGATGTGTCTGCACTCTGTTACCACAAACGGCGACCATGTACTGAAGTCGTGGCGTCACCGAGCTGTTGTCTTGTCACTAAGCCGTTTCAGCTGGCATACTTGCGCATGCCAATCGGTGCTTAGTCATGAAATCGTTGTTCAAGACACATTTGAAATAACTTTCCACTCTTGCACATGTGGTGAAGAAAAGAACCTTTAAAGCTTGAACACCGAACCACAGCCCTGAATACTGTAACGTGCAGGTGATCGCCCGATTTTGTGTTTTTTGCCCTTGGTTTGAACCTTTTTCATTGGATGTGTTTGTGGGATCAGCGCCGGCCCAGAATAAT